CACCCCCGTGTATGCCTCAGATCAACAGTTTAACTGCAAGTTTTGTCTTGTTTGTTTAACCCTTTGGTTCCCCTATTTTCCTCCTATAAGTGAAACCATCTGATATTTTTCTTTTTCCTTGTGGCTTATTTCTCCGAGCATAATCCCTTCTAGCTCCATCCATGTTGCTGTGAATGGCATGAATGTATCTTTTTTTAAGCTCTTAGTAGTATTCCAGTGTGTCTGTTTGTGTATCACATCTTCTTGATCCATTCATCTGTTTGGGGCACTTAGGTTTTTTCCATATGTTAGCTATTGTAAGTAATGCTTCAATTAATACAGGAGTGCTGGTTTCCTTTTGAATTAATGTTTTTGTGATGTAGAGGACCACTTTATATTTAAATAATTGAATGACAATTTATTCTTAAGTCTTAGCTAAAGAGGAAAGGAGAACTTCTTAGTTTAATAAAGACTTTTTCTCCCAGAAATCCAAAGCAAGTGTAATGCTTAGTAACTTTCCAGAATTGGCTCCTTTAAAGTGTAGCAAGTATTACAGTTAGTCCTATCTTGTGCAGGCAGCTCTCAGAGATGGATTTAGACAAGGAAAGCAAATAGAAAGTGTTAATATTAGAAGGGAGTATACAAAAATGTAGTTTTTTCAGCTATTAATACTTCTAAATAGCAGATTCTAAAGCATCCACTAAAAATACCACTAAAATTATAAAAACTCATTAAGGAGTCACATGTCAAGAGTGATTAGCCAAATGAGAAAAAGAATATAGAACTGTGTCATATACACAGTTATCTTACACGAGAACAACTTTCTACATTTGGCAAGAAAATAAGAGAAAGAGTAAGAACTGTACCCAGTGTGTGCAGTTCCCTGTACCCTGGTGTGAGCCTGCCAAGACTGGGAGCCTGTGGCTCCCCCCAACAGTGGTGGCTCCAGACGCCTCTCAGAGGGTGCACAGCACGGTGCTGAGCATGATTTCAGGGATCAAAGAAATTAGCTTGTGGAACATGTCTCCTAAATGAAAGTCAGCGGCTTCATCATCATCTCTTCCAACTCAGGAAGGGATGCATTGCGAATCTGTTTCTAATGTGGGCCTTTCAAGGTCTCCATGCAATTTTTTTCTTTGTGTGGAAATTTTTGAACATCTTTTCTGCCTTCCCCTTAGGCCACTTCTTTCACTGCCAACCATCTTATGTACAACTTTCATGTAATAGCTGGATTCTAGAAAGCCCTGCAGCTCTGAGGCCAAAGGGGTGTCTTCCACCTGCAACCCTCAAGGAGGTGGGGGGAGAGAGAGGAGAGGCAGGGAGGGGAATGGACCACACATCTCTCAGAGAGGACTGAGGCCAAGGCTGCTGGCATGCCGCTTGGGTAGTTGAAGACAGTAGCCTGCTTCCTATCCCAGCTGGAGGCAAAGCAGAGAACAAGGAAGAAAGTCAGGGCAGCTCTTAGAAAGCAGGTGTTGGTCCCCTGTGGATAATGGAAGTGGGCCTGAGTCCTGCCCTGGAAACAAGAAGTGGGTGGAGTCAGGAGAGGTCACCATAGACAGAGAAGGAAGGACTGCAGATGTGATACAGGGTAGCATTGGGGGGACTTTTTGTTACTCCTTCACATTTTCCTAGAAGTAAGGCAGTGGACTTAAGAAAGGGAGAAAGAAGGGAACTTTCACTTTTAGTTCTATTTTAAGGTGTTTACATTTCCACTCTAGCTGGGATGGTTCACAGGCTTCTTAAACCTGAGCTGCCCAAGCACGAGCTGGCCACGCCCTGCTGCCCCAGCCCACCTCCACTATGAAACCTGTGCCTTTCCCTCCGCGTTCTTTCAGCAAAGTATCAGAATCAACTGCCAGCTCCAGGCTGGAACCTAAAAGTTATTCTGCACTTTTTCTACTTTACCTTCCACATATGATCCAGTGATGAATCCATCTAGCCTACCTTCTAGGTATTTCTTGAATTGAACCTTTCCTCTCTCTTCTCAGCTCCCTGGTCTAAGGCCAAGTTGCTCGCTCGATGTACTGGAGTGGCCATAAAGTTGGTCCTTTGACTTTCCATGTTCGAATTAGGAGACTATGTTTTCATTGAACACCTTATTTTGAGCATCACTATAGATGCTCACAAAGTTGTAAACAAGTAAATAACAGAGACCCTCTGTTATCCAGTAAGAATGCAAAATTATAATATAGGGTGCCTGACCAGATATTGATATGGTCATGTTTCCATTATCCTAAGGATCCTTCCTGCTGCCCTTTTAGAGCCCCACACCCTTCTTCCCCCACCCCATGCCCCACTCCATCTTTCCAAGTGGCGCTTTTCAAAAATGTTAGTGTTTTGTGGCTTATTAAAGCTCTTCAGGGGCTTCCCATTGTTCATGGACAAAGCAGCGCATTCTCGTCAGAGCCTGCGAGGCTTGGAACGCCCTTGCCCATCTCACCCAGTTCTTACCCTACACACGTTCCCTGCTGGACTTCTCTTCACTCCTCAAACACACAGCATTTCTTGTCCCCTCACAACTATCTGCCTGAGGACCTTTCCCTGATTTTTGTCCTGTCACTAGGGCTCATTTTATTCATCACTGTCCCATGTCTGGTCTGGCTTAGTTTCGCCTATGCCTCCCATCCTCCATTCTTCATGATCCCACTCAGTACATTTGTAATAGTGTCTCTAGTCTCTATATCCACTCAGCTGTACATTGTAAGTGCTTTCAGCTACAGGTGTTGGAGTAGCCTATCAACAGTGTCTTCAACTAATAGAGATTTGTTTTCCTCACACAAGAACTCCGAGTTTCATGTTTGTCCATAGCGGTGTCTGTTCTGTGATGTTAGCAAGGTCAGGACCCACTCTTTTCATTTTTTGCACTTGATGTTGACCTTTTGGCTTCATGCTTGTCACTTCAAGCTCATAAGGAAGCTGCCCCAGCACTAAACATCACCTCTTCGTTCAAGACAGGAAAAGAGGGCAAAAGGGCATTTAACTCACAAAACTGTCCTTCCTCAGTAGACTTCCTCTTTATAGCTCATTGGTCAGAACGGTGCCTTTGCTAGCTGCAAAGGAAGCTAAAAAAGTGTCTTCTCCTTTTCTCGCCTCCATAGTGAGAAAAATGGGCAAGAGGTAGGGTGTGGGCATGGCTGTTGAGAAAGCCAGCCAGCAGTGTTTCTCACACTAGTCAGGACTGCCACATATTAAGCATGTAAATATTTGTGGCATGAGTGAATATGAATAGATAGATAAATAAATGAAGTGAGTCTTGGATTCAACTAATCTAAAACCTATTTATGTACTTTCTTATATTCAAACTCTGATGTTTTCTATATACATGTGTGTGTGATATTTTATTTATTTACATATACACATGTATATGTGCCTCTACTTTGTAAGGGTCTCACAGCAAGGACATTTTCTTGTTTTTTTAGAGGGTATTGTATGCTGGGCATACAGTCATTACTTAGTATCAATTAATTTAAACATAGTCCAAAAAAGGCTAAAAGGTGCATAGGGACAAGAAACCAAATATAAATAGTTGCTGTATTTCTGTTTAAAATGAGAGGAATAAATGTAAAATGTAAAGCAGGTATAAATAAGCTTAAGATGATGATTCTAAGAGCAAAATATTAATTTGTAATTTTCAAGACTAAAAGGAATGCAGATTTCAGGGAATACAAAACAATTTGGAGGGCATCAATGTTAGAAAATGATACTAATCATTTGTCTTTAGGTACAGTATGTTCCAGTACTGGTGTTATGTATGTAAAACACATTTAAACATGGCAGGAATTCTCCTTCCTTCAACAGCATCCAGGTTAGTTACTGGGGAGGGAAAATTTCCTCATGGGATTTCCTCATGTGGCCGGTTCCAGAGGACAGTCCCTTGAGGATTCTCCCAGTGTCCCCACCTGCCTAGGACGGTGATAGTTGCTTCTCTGCACCTCTTATCTCCCTGAGGACTTCAGAACCCCGAAAATCTACTGTTCATCTATTCTATGCACAGAACACATCCTTCAATTGGCTAAGGATTTAGCCCACACTTGGGGAAAAAGACAAAAGCATGTCAAATTATCTCAAAGCCTGAAATGTTTCCCACAGAACCTCTGGGTGACAAGCTATAAATTACAGGGCCTCTGGAACCTGGAGGAAAAGCAGAAAAAGAACGGAATCTGAGGTGGCCATTCAGTTCTCATGACTGAAGATGGAATTGCCCCAACAGCATCAGATGAGCCCTCTGTCTGCCCATCCTTGAACAGCAGCTTGCCAGGCACTTTGTTCCTCATTAGAATTTATTTCCTGACCTTAGAAAAGGATGCAGCATCTTGCCTATGGAAACAATCCTTCCTATTAGGTTTGCTAGGGAGAACCTAGCAAAACTGATTACTTGCTTTCTTCTCATGCTCTAATGCTGGGTTGAACAAATGCATGCAATCTTGAAGTCACAGCTTCCTATGCCCCTTAAAATCTTGTCTGACAATGTGCTGTCTGAGTTACCCATTTAACAAGTTAGATAGTCTCATATTTCAAAACACCATGTAAATGGCAGCTGCATGCATCCTGCTT